GTAAGATTTTCTTTACCTCCAAGTAAAGAAAAGCAATCAAAGATAAAGTCTGTTACGCTTCATCCCAGCCACCCTTGGGATGCTAAGCAGATGGGCAAAAAGATATCTGGAAATACATGTTAAGATTTCTTATTATAATCAAGTCCTATTTGCTTTATGTTCATAATTTAATGCAAAAGTACAGAATGCTTTCATATGCTACTCGAAATTGCTTTAAAATGCAGCCCACTGTGAAATATGTTTCTGCACCGGTCTGAAGTCAAAACTGGAGACTTGGCCCATTATCTTGGTCTCTTGCCGGGATCTGCAGGGCCCCCTCCTCACCGCCTGTGGCCTGCTTTCTTCACAGCATCGGTGGAGAGGTGGGGCGAGGCCACGACGCCGGCTACGTGGGCAAGCACTTCCGCATGGGATTCATGACGATGCCGGCCCCTCAGGACAGACTTCCCCATCCGTGCTCCAGTGGCTTCACCGTGAGGTCGCAGTCCCTGCACTCGGTCGGGGGCACGGAGGATGACAGCAGCTGTGGCTCCCGGAGACAGCCACCACCCAAGCCCAAGCGGGACCCCAGCACCAAGCTGAGCACCTCCTCGGAGACGGTCAACAGCCCTGCGGCCACCAAGAGCGGGAGGCCCGCCGAGAGGCCCGAAGGTGAGCTCCCAGGCCACGCGCCCTGACCTGGTCTGCCAGTGAGCCCCTGCCTTCCCCCTGGGTCACCATCCGGCTGGCATCACCTGGGAATCCCACCTGAGAAAAATCAAGGGGAAGGTTATTGAATTGGTCTGCTCTCAATACCTTTGTCTTTTTGTTTAGGCTGGGGATTGAACCCAGGGTCACTTAACCACTGAGCCACACCCCCAGGCCTTTGCCAGATCCTCTTGCTTCAGTCTCCCCAGCCTCTGGGATAAGAGGTGTCACCACAGCCCCTGGCTCAAATGCCCTCTTAACACTTTGGATCATTTCAAAATTATCTTGGAGAGAGAGGGTGGGGGGGGGGAGAGAATGAATTTATATTTTCTAGCTTTTATTAATACTATTTGAATAACTGAGGGAAGTATTGTGTGTTTATTGGGAGAAGGTTTTAATGCAGGACAATATAAGGAAAAAAGTTTTTTACCATAACTTTTGTGATGATCATTTTAACATGATTATCTTCCAGTGAGTATGAATGCATGCATGTATGTGTGTATGTGTGTGTGTATACAGTGTATGTACTATACATTTCAGTCTCTTTATATTACTGATTTCTTCCTGTGCCTACATTTTCCCTCAGCTATGAAATATAGAGTTCAGATATATCCCAGCCTCCTTACTGGTCTATGAATTAGGTCATATCAATCATGGATCTCACCAGTTCTTTAGCCCTCACCGGAATAAGTAAGTTTCAACTTTCCTGAGCTTTTCCTGAGAGCCCCTTAATGGGATAGACATCTTAAGTGTACTTTGAAACAAGCRGACTTAGTTTAGGCTGCTATTACAAATGGCCCTAGACTGGATGGCCTATAAAGAACAGATTTTATTTTTTCACAGTTCTGGAGGTTGGAACGAGCAGGATGCCATCATGGTCTTTTCTGGGTAGAGCTCTCTTCCAGGTTGTAGACTGCTGTCTCCTGCTATGCTCACATGGGGAAGAGAAGAAAGAGAGAATGAGCTGTGTTCTAACAGTGCTAATCCACTTGATGAGGGGTCCACCTTCAAGTCCTTAGTACCTCCCAAAGGCTCCCCCTTCAAATACCACCATATTGGGACAAAGCTTTCAACATTTTAATTTTGAGGCCACAACATTCAGTCCATTGCCCAAGGCCATTCAGATTTTTACCTATCAATTGTGATAAACACCTCAAGATTCCCAAAGCTACCAGTGGCCAGTTGGAGAACTCTGCATATTCTTGACTCTCTTCATAGCAGAAGAGTCTGCTTCCCCAAGTCCCCCAGGTATCAGATTTCAGCTGAGGTTCACTGCAGAGATGGGGAGCACATGGTCCTTTTCTCAACTGGGCAGAATTCTCTGCTACCTGGACTCCTCATTTCCCTATGAAAGTTCCCTCATCTTCTAGTCTTCATCTTTCTGTAGAAGTTCAAAATTGTTCCACAAGATTAGGTGCCCCTGAGGTACATTCAGTTTCTCTCTTCWCCCTTCTTTCTCCCTTCCTGGCATCCAAGTGTCTTTGGCCAAGACAATAGTTGACTGCATTATTGAATAATACAAATAAGTGCCTGAAGATAGTGGTAATCCACCAATTCAACAAGGACAAATCTCTGCTTAGTCTGTTTTCTCTACTACACATATAGGAATAATACATCATGTGTACATATGTGTATTCATGTAAGAACACACATGGAAATAGCAGGAACATGGATGTGTGTTTGCAAAATTGAAATCATAGTGCATGGCATTTCCTGTGTTGTATTTTTCACTTATTCCATGTGACTATTTTCTGGGGATTTTATTTGTCAAGAAACATCACTTTTTAATGGATGGAAGTGTACATCATAGGAATATATTAATTATTTATTTTATTTATTATTATTTTATTGATATATACTTACATTGGCTCCAATTTTTTAGCTAGAAGGAACAGTAATAGAGTGGACACTTGTGTGTGTGCATTTGTGGGTCTGTATATATTTGGAGGTGACTGTTCTTTTTCTGCCTTCTTAGAATTTATTAGAAATTGGAGTTTTTTCCCCCTCATGATTCAGGGTTATCAGTATGTCCTCCATGATTCAGGGTTATCAGTATGTCCTCCAACTTGTAACGCATCAACACATAGACACACATAGAGGTATTTAGTTCCCTTGTTAGTACACCAAATGGCTCCAGAGACATGACTTTTATAAATTTTAAATATCATCTTAGGTTTTCTCTAAGATTGATACCTGGTGCTGTTTGTTTTGTGTGATCCTGTGTCTAGAAGTTGCCCTCTCCCACTTCAGTTGCCAGAATACTACATAATCAATAGCGTTAGATTATTTGCAAAAGAAGATTACTGATCCTGACTTAAGACCTTGATTTCTGAATGATGAGGTCCTGAATGCAATACGGAATGGGACTGAAGAATAGTAAGAAATAAAAGAACCCCTGAATGGAGAGGAAAGATAAGACAGGCAGRAAAGGAGCCAGAGGGCAGCGTGAGTCATGCTGCCAGAAAACCTCCTGGAAGGAATGGGAGGTGCTCCCAGCCCCCCTCTGGGGAGCAATGACAGGTACTTAGTGAGAATGTGGGGAAAATCGTGGTTACTGTTCTACAGGAACAAAATTTGAGTGACAATTCAATTATGTTAAAAATAGAACAGAATACCCTCCATTTGGGATGCTTCAGGTGTCTGTTTCCTGGAGGTATCATTCTCTCTCAGACCTAGGGTTCCCCATGGCTCGTTGCCAAAGAGAAGACAGTGGCTCTCTTAATCTTATATCACTATAATCTTTTACATCACCTGAAGGTAAAGTAGGACAAAGTGATCAAGTTAGGACATCAATGACTTAAGTTGGACTTGGAAAATTACTTGATGGGTTGGGAGGTGCACTTCCTCAAATGGGAACTCTTAGGATAGATTGGGAATCCCTCAGCTGTGGTTCGTCATGGTCCTGAGTGAACTAGATGAACTAAGATCCTGTGCAGGAATGGTAGGCTTTTATAGAAAAGCGATTCTCTATTCAAATTTTACTCTCTCCTCAGAAMACTTAAAAGGCAATTGTAAAGCTAGGTAGAGCCAAATCTCTTCAAACATATTATGGCCTCAATAATAAGAGGATAAAATCTGTTATTATTGTATAGAGATGGGGAAAATCTCAGTTCAGGGGTGGGGAAATGTTTTTTGAGTCCAAATGCATGTGTGGGTATGTGTAAATTCAAAGCCAAAATTACATAAATATGGAGATTGCTCTTTTATGGATTCTCAGTTCCTTATAATTGCAAGTTAACTGGAGTTCATTATAGAACATGTTTTCTTTATAATTTTCCAGCTATCAACATTATAACACAGATAAAAAGTGACTTTTATAAATCTTAACCCGTCTTTTCTTTTTTACATTAAATGTCAGCAAAATCAAAATATTGATTCAGTGGCATTAGAATGATTTCCATGGTAACCAGCTTCTATTTAAGTAGAGGATTATGACTTCCCTGTGGATAAAAGTAAAAAGAACTGGACTTGTAATAAAATGGCTTTTCAGAATAGAAGAAGAAAGAAAGAAAGAGATAAACTTGAACACAACAAAACAAAAATCATGTACTAAGAAAAATACAATTCAATATTTAAAATTATAATTCTGTCACATTAAAAACATATATGTACTACTTTATATGAAGAACATAAATGGTAATCAGTATAATATGAATATTTTAATTACCTTTTTCTGTCACCTCAGGGTGATACCAACTCATTTTTAGGCAATATTAAATGAAAAAAAAGGAGTTAACTAGAAAGAATAAGGGGCCTTAAGTACAATGTGTCTCATGTGTGATCCATCAAATAAGCCATCTCAAAACCTCACCTCAGTCATTCCTATTCCTTTAGCAAACCGCTTCATTCCTCAATAATTTCATTCTAAAAGATTCTGTATGAAATGGGCAAAAGGGACTGTACTTAGAGTGAGAGGCGAACACTTTGGGCAAGTGACCCAATGAGTTTTTTTTAACCTTTGAGATAATTACAAAAAACTGAAAAACTGATGGTGTACTGCCTTTCTCATGGCCTTATGACAACCCAGGTATCTAATGCCAATGACGTGCATGATTAAAAGAAGTTGCTGTACAAATGGAAGTMAATGCAATTTTAAATGTGTAACTACCATTTTTTAAAAAAATTAGTTGTACATAACACAATACATTTATTTATTTATTTATTTATATGGTACTGAGGATCGAACCCAGGGCCTCACATGTGCAAGGCAAGAGCTTTATTACTGAGCCCTAGCCCCAGCCCTGTAACTACTGCTTTTTAATAGTCTTGAATAACATGAAATTTTGGCTTGATGTAGCACATATATTAAAAGGAAACAAGAGAGGAAAAGATATATTCACCCATTCTACATGTTAGAACTTACAAAATTTTACATATGGCTATTATTGAAAAGACCAATTTTAAAAAGTGCTGAGGAGAATGCAGAGATAAAGGAAGCCTTGCACACTGTGCTGGGGCTGTAAATTTGTGCAACCACTAAGGAAAACAGTCTGGAGGATCTACAAAAAATTAAAAGTCCAACTACTGTGTGGTCTGGCAATATCACTGCTGGATATATCCAACAGAGATAGCAATAATATGTTAAAGAGGCGTCTGCACTCCCACATTTATTACAGCAGTGATAATCATTTACAGTAACTGAGACATGGAGTCAAATTAAGTATCTATCAACTGATGAATGGATAAAAAATATGAATATATATATATATATATATATATATATATATATGACAAAAAAGAATTTCAATGACAAACATGGATGGATCTGGTAGGCCTTGCTAAGTGACATAAGCCAGGCACAGAAAGATAAGTACTATGTGATCTTACTTGTATGTGGAATAYCAAATAACTGAACTCATAGAAGCAGTGAGTGGCTACCAGGGGCTGGGGTTTAGGGAGATTTTGGTCAAAGGATACAAAATTTAAGTTAGGCAGAGGAAATTCAAAGGATCTATTCTACATCA